TGGCAATTGCCAGTGGGAGTGTTAGGCATGAGGTTGGATTGCCTGCAGATCGGGCCACCCATCTCCGCCTAACGGGTTGGAGCCTCCTCAAACTTCTCTCTGCAGTTCCTTGGGGAGAACCCCCATTCTAAATCAAAGTGGCGGAGGAGCGGATCCAGACACCTTTGTGTTATTACCCCAGAAAGATTTAGCTGCACTGGTACCATATTTATTTGTTTTATCCATTTAATTCAAATGTGAGGCATTTGAGAAAAATGCCATTAAAATAATTTCCAAGAGAACCGTATCCTTTATACAGAAGGAAAACTGTGGGTACAGCAGCAGACAATCAACTTCTAAAATGTTTGTGCTGCTGACTCAGGGTCCTTAGTGCAGGGGAATGGCACAGGTGACTGGGCGGGTCCAGAGAAGTCTTTCTTTACAAAACAAGGAAATGAAGGTACTGTCTTAGGCAGAACAATGCCCGCCCCCCCTTGCCCCCCTGAGATGGCCACATCCTAGTCATCAGAACCTGCCAATGTTTGGGTACAGATCAACTTACAAAGTTTGTAGGTGGAATTAAGGCTGCTAATTAGCGGGCTTTAGAGAGATTGTCTTTTTTTCTTAAATCCATGTGGGGCCAATGTACTCAAGGAGGGGACTTAAGGGGCGAGAGTAGGCAAGGGAATGGGTTCCCACTAGGCCTCCGAGAGGAGAGGAACACAACCCTGCCACCCACTAGGCTTCCCCCTCACGGGGGTGCAGGAAACCCATGTGGTCTGGGGTGATGTGTTACAGCGGCAATGGGAAACTAACCCAGGTGCATCAGACAATGTAATGCTCCAACGTCATTGGAATAAGACCAAGAATGCCTAATGAGGGGAAATATTCACGGCCTATTGCCAGGTTAGCAAGGCAGGCGAGGAAACACCATCTGCAATAAAATAAAGTACAGACCTGTTTAGATAAAAGCTGAAGGATGAGTTCTTCGTGGTTCCCTGTGGATGCTGGGATTGGTTTTTTCCTTTTCTGCATTTCCCATGTTTCTTTTGTAATCAGGAAGTGAAAAGTTAAATATGATTGCCCATCTACCTGAAGGTTATTTTACCAACAGCATTGCAGCTCCTTTAAAAAAATATTGTTTTCAAGATAGGGGAGGAGTTAGAATTCCTATCATGCCACGATTAGACTTTGAATGCTATTTGCATTAATGGCATCAGGGTTAATTTCAATAGCCAGTTAGCACCTGTATAGTGTCAAACAGTGATGGCGAACCTATGACACGCGTGTCAGAGGTGACACGCGAACTCATTTTTTTTGGTTGATTTTTCTTTTTTAAATGGCATTTAAATATATAAAATAAATATCAAAAATATAAGTGTTTTACTATGGTTGCAAATATCAAAAAATTTCTCTATGTGACACGGCACCAGAGTTAAGGTTTTTCAAAATGCTGGCACGCCGAGCTCAAAAGGTTCGCCATCACTGGTCTAAGACCTAAGTCCCCGGTGCTTGAACTTCCCTCTGGGTCGGCTGGATGACCCTTTACTTTTCATAGTGGAGGCAGCAGGGCACCCATCATCCTTAGAGGCCCTGCCTTCTCCCTACGCTCTGTGCATTGGATTTTCATCAGGGGTGGTTTTTATTGTTCTTTATATGTGTAGAGAGCAAAATATAAAGGAAATTAACCCTCTCTAAGCAGGATAAAACTTGTTTCGTCGTTTCACTGGATGTCAAGTGCATTTTTAAAAATATTACTTAGTGACATACATAAAACGGCTAACTGTTGCTGTGAAGGCCTGGCTCCGCCTGGCTCCGGGGCGCGGGCGGGATGTCATGGCTTAGGCGGGGGCGGCGACTGCAGGGACCGGAGGGCTGGGCCTCGGGGAGCTGGGGTCCGGGGTGGCTCCAGCTCGGGGTCTGTGCTCCCGGCAAGTCCTGAACCTCTCGAGCCGCCATGGGAGGTGGACTGTGACTGCCCTGCCCCCTGGGGCTCCTGTGAGAAGTCAAGGAACAGACGTGCCTCTCCGGGTGCGGGAGTCGGGAAGGGGTGGGTATCCTTGCAGCTGAGCGCCTTTATCACAGCCCTGGTGCCGAGACGTCGCACCGGCGGGCATTCAGGAACCGCTTGTGCTTGTACCCCCGGCGGCTATTTCGAGGCGTGTTTCCTTGTCGTGATGAAGTCACTCCTATGAGCCCACACCTCCGGGGTCCAGGCTAACGGCAGGAGCGGCAGCCCTTGCGTCCCCGTTCGTGGGAATTCTGTCGCTCAGTTCAATGGCACTAGGAGCCTGCAGCCAGGTCCCCGACGCTTTGTAACGGGTACAGTCTCTCTCCTCCTGTGACAGAGCATCTGGGAGGCTCAGGCTGTTGTCAGGTACCAGTCACCAAGGAAGAGGAAGACAAACTGGCCCTTCACATGGGCTCCCAGCTCTCCCAGGGGAACTGGGGCGGGGGGACCCGGCACCCTCAGCCCTTTAGGTAGATGTGCAAAGAGCGAAGACACTGGGGGATTCAGCCCTTGGTGGACGGGCGTGAAAGTTATAATTGAAGATGCACGTTTTACAAAACAATAGCACCTCGCTGGAACTTACCTTCTCCACGCCATTGGCTTCATTCGGACCACCATGAAGGACCTCTGATGTACATGCTGCACTCCAGCCCCAGCCTTACTTGGCTACATAGCAATCCTATCAAAGCCTCCGATACTATTCCCACAAAACCCAAAGCATAAAGCAAGCACTTAAAGCAGGTCTGTGTTTCTTCCGAGTTAAATATGAGTGACCTGAAGAGCCAGTTACTCATGTAAAAATGAGGCATAAAAGATCAATTCATGCCCATGGCCAGTGTTGCCGAGTGGTTAGAGCATTGGCACAGGCACTGAAGGGTCTCGGGTTCGATTCCCGGTCAAGGGCATGAACCTGGGTTGCAGGTTCGATTCCAGGCCCCGTTGTGCAGGAGGCAACCAAGCAATGTGTCTCTCTCACATTGACGTTTCTCTCTTTCTGTCTCCCCACCATCTCCCCCTCCCTCAAAAAAAAAAATCAATGGAAAAAATATCTTCTGGTGAGGGTTAACAACAAAAAGAATAAATTCTTAAATCAGATTTAAATAATCAAATGAAACATCCTTGGTTTTGCTAGTTTGCTTTCCCCTTGTTGGAATAAATTATTAGACTGGCTGTGGAGACTTGGGCACCTTAGGCTCTTTCTGAGTACAAGTATGGGTTATCAATTTTGTGGTAAATGTAGGCACACAATACCATTTCCTGCTTTAAAAACTGCTAGAAGTTAATGATGCTGTTCAGAAAGTTTATAAGGTTTCGCAATCATTGTTTTAACACAGAAATCTGTTTATTAAACCCAACAAAACAAAATTATACCAGCCCTCAATTTTTGAATTTTCATTTAAATAAGCAAACTCTAAATCCACATCTTAAAAGATGTTTGTGCATCTATGTATTTCCAAAATACTCATATTTCAATAAGATTTTTCACATTATGTTCACCAACAGTATCACAAAATTTTTTGTTTTTGTTTTTTGTTTACATAACTTGTAAGGAACAGTTGTTCTAGAAACACTAGAAGAAAAAAGCATAGCAATGTCCACAGTTACAAGAAAAAGTGCACATTACTTGGTCACAATCACAGTCATTACTTGAAAAACTATAACAAGTAGATAAGAAATTTCACTGATGCCTAAACGTATCAAAAACTGAAGGACATAAATTTTACATAAAATAAGGCAAAGTTCAGGAATGCGCAAAGAACTTTTAATCCAACCAAAGCTAAACAACAGAAAAACTGTACGGGAAGCATTAACTGATGTACTCCCTACATCGCTTAAAAACAGGCTCGCCTCAGTGCACAAAGAAAACTCCCTTCACGTGTACCCAGCGCTACAAAATCAGAAGGAAGGGCAGAGGATGGGGCCGAGGAGGGGCCAGTCATTTAAGCTGCCACTGCAGCCACCGAGAGTCCCTTACATCATGTTGACCCAGGACTGTAAATCATATATGTCATATCAGGAGAGGCAATGGTCTTTTTGGAAACTATGTCTGAAATGGAGAAATGAAAATTAAACTACACGAGTGCAAATTTTCAGATTGTCACTTGCAACCTCCTAAAATTGACATCTACATCCAGGTGCTGCTGGAGGGATGCCCGTCAGACAGAGCAGTGGCTATGTGGGGTGAGCTGCAGGAAACCAAGGTGTGACCCCCCATCCCCGCAACGATATGTCTTTTGAAATATTAAACTGCGATGAAAGCCTCTACGGCAAAGCTGCAGTGTTGCTTGGGGTCAGCGTGAGTGCAGGCTTCTCCTGGAAGAACTTCCTGATATGACGATGTAAAGAACATAGGCCAGGGTGGTTTTTTTTTCCCAGCATCAAGTGTTATTTTTGTAGAAAGAATTTGGAAAGAGGAGAAGGCAAAGGGATGTGGAAAAGGTACTTACAGTAGTTTCTCAAAACAGTTTTCTTTTAGGACCTATGAAAAAGTTACCAAAGTAAAAATGACCATTTTGAATGAAAAACAAGTTTCCTTTTTATAAAAATTACATATATATATATTTTTTAAAATACAAGATCCTTTTCATTGTTATAACCTGGAACAAGAAATTTTGGCTTTGTTTTCTTTTTCGCCAGATCCTGCAGCTTTCAGTCCAATGAGTCAGTAGCAAATCCCACTAATATCTCAGTTGGATCTGGAGCTATTCTTTATACCACAAGCCTCTTCCATTTTATCCTTGAAGTAGGAATCTACAGCCTTTTTTTTTTTTTTTTTTGGCCCAGTTATGCTGACACGAAAACGAAAAGCAGCAGGCCGGACACACAGCATCTCAAGTACTTCAGAGGCCAGAGTTCCTGTGAAGCACCTGACTGCATCACACTACGGACCCAGGACAACATGGCAGAATGGAAGTGTTTCCCTTAAGACTGTGCGGTCGGGCCCTCTCTGCTGGGAAGCCAGAACGCCATTAGTGCAAACGGAGACCTCGGTGACGAGGCGCCTCCTGAGTCAGTTCTGCTGTAAAATGAGATTTTCCAGCTCATCCGCGGAACGCAGCAAAAACGCAGCGGACTCTCGGTACCCGGCCACCAGCTGCCGCACGGCGTTGATCTCGGTGGGACTCAGCTGGGGCCGGGCGCTGGCGCTGCTGGAGGACCCCGCGCTGGGCGCCAGCTGCCTCTTCATGCTGAGATCCGTGGGCCCTGGGGAAACGGTCACAGAGTCAGAATGGTTTTCACTCTGGTACTTTGAACATAAGCAGAATTCGTTGTTGACGCAATTCATGTGCTCCTTCAGGAGAAGCTGCTGATACCTTTAATCAAAGGCATCTCAGCCCTGACCGGTTTGGCTCAGTGGATAGAGCGTCGGCCTGCGGACTGAAAGGTCCCAGGTTCGATTCCGGACGAGGGCATGTACCTGGGTTGCGGGCACATCCCCAGTGGGAGGTGTGCAGGAGGCAGCTGATGGATGTTCCTCTCTCATTGATGTTTCTAACTCTCTATCCATCTCCTTTTCTGTGAAAATCAACAAAAATAAAAAGGCATCTCTCAGGCCCGGCCGGTGTGGCTCAGTGGTTGAGTGTCCACCTGTGAACCAGGAAGTCAAGGTTCCATTCTCGGTCAGGGCATGTGCCCGGGTTGCGGGCTCGGTCCCCAGGAGAGAGCGTGCAGGAGACAGCTGATCCATCATTCTCTCTCATTATTAATGTTTATCTCTCTCTCCCGCTCCCTCCCTCTCTGAAATAAAATGTGTTTTTTTTTAAAGTTACCACTCAGAAAGACGAAAGAGCAACACTGATGCAAAATGGGCGGCTGGGTGTTCTCTGGGTGTAATTTCTGGCAATCACCTCTCACGGTGGAAAGACCTTTTCTTTAACGTGTGCCTTTTAGAAAATTCACTGTCGGGTCTACCTCCCACAGGTAGAAGTTTCTCTGACGAGTACATGACGCGGCTCACAAATGCTTTTCATTTGCTGTTTGTCAGATGATTAGACCCCGCCAATCCAGACGCATAAACACCCCGGCTGTAACGCCAATGGTGCCGCGTCACTCATCACCGAGAGGGAACGGGGAGCTGGGGAGCATGTCACGTGTTTAAGTTCAACTTGTAAGGCGCAACATGGACGCGAACCTGGGTACTTTTTCCTTCCGGACCAAGGCTTGCTTCCGTGCGGGTGACTATGACTAAACATGTGGACACAGAGTGAAGTCTGAAGTGTGCAATAAGCAAATGATCAGTACAAACAACGCCACAAAGACCCTGGGCTGGGAATACTGGTTTAGATCCTGTTCACGTCCCTTCTGTATTTATTTGCAAAAACATGTGTCAAAACGTTTTTCTTAACATATATTTAAAGCGAGTCAGATAGCTCTGCCTTCTGACATTTTGTAACTTTTTACTGAATCATTTATATTTCATCATGTCTCATGCATGTGCCCCGTCTTTATCCAACCACCTGCGAAGGACACTTCAGTTGCTTCCATGTCTTGGCTGCTGTGAATAATGCTGTGAAGAACACAGGGCTACATAGATTTTTTTTTTAATTTAAATTCTTTATTGTTTAAAATATTACAGATGTCTCCCCCCCATTGACCTCTCCCCAGCTGCTCCCCCTCCCCCCCCACATATGTAGATCTTTATGAGTGTTTTCCAATGTTTCGGGTTGACACCTGGAAGAGGGATTGCTGGGTCACATGGTAGCTATTCCTAGTTTTTGAGGAGCCTCCGGAGGGGCTGAACCCATTTCCGTTCCTACCCGAAGTGCAGGCGGGTTCCCTTTCTCCACACCCTCTTCAGCACTCGCCTCGTCCTCAGGAGAACAGCCATTCCAGCGGGCGTCCAGTGAGGTGGTCTCTCACTGTGGTGGCCATTCGCGTGTCCCTAGAGCAGGTGAGGCTGGGCATCTTTCCATGTGTCTGCTGACCCTCTGGACGCCCTCGTGGGAAGCGTCTGTGCAGGCCCGCCCATTTGTAAATTGGATGGCTTGGTTTTTGTTGAGCCGTGTAAGTTCTTTGTATATTTTGGATATTGACCCCCTTATCAGAGGCATTGTTTGCCTTTTGGTTTTGTTGTCAGGTTTTTTTTGGGCTGTACAGAAGCTTTTTAGCTTGATGTAGCTTGATTCATTTATTTTTGCTTTTATTTTCCTTGTGTTTGGGGTTAAGTTCACGAAAACCACTCTGAGACCAAGGTCCATACATTTAGTGCCTATGTTTTTTTCCTATATATTTTACTATTGTCTTTAAACCATGCTGAGTTCATTTTTGCGTATGCTATCACATAGCAGGCTAGTTACATCCCCATTTTTCCAACATTTATTGAAGAGTTTTTTCTTTCTGCATTGTATGTTTTTTGCTTCTTTGTCAAAAATTAGTTTCCCGTGTGTGTGGGTTTATTTCTGGGCTCTCAATTCTATTCCATTGGTCACAACGTGGATGGATCTTGAGAGTATGATGCTGAGTGAAGTAAGATGAAAAAGGACAGCCGTACGATTCCACATGATTTCACTATATATGTGGGATATATAAAGCAGAAAGCCACAGTGAACAAACAAGCTCACAGACAACAGTATGGTGGTTACCAGGGGGCACAGGGGTGGGAGGAGAATGAAGAAGGTAAAAGTGGTCAAATTGATGGCCACGGAAAGAGACTCTGGGTGGTGAATATACAATGCAATATACAGATGGTGTATGATAGAATTATGTTATTAACCAATGTTGCCCCCAGTAAATTTAATTACTAATTTGTAGTTTTTTAAAGATCTTTAAATCAGACATTTGTGTTAAGACCTTTTATATCAATTCTTGTTTGATTATTAATAAGACTTTCTTATATAGCTAAAGGTAAGAACTGTGACAATGAACACTTAATTGCTATAATTATTAAATTTTCAGCTGGTAATAGATGTGAAGTCTTTGAATATAACTAAGCACTAAACTAAAGGCACGCTCAAAATTGTAATGATTCTGTAACTTGAAAGTATTTCAACAGATTTTTCTAAAGACAGAACTTTTCAGAGAATGGTATTCCTTTCATGAATTAAACCAGGGATGTTATTTTATCCTTCTAGTTCTCCTTGAGGCATGGAGATAGGTCAAGACATGACCCCGTCCACCCTCTCCCCTGAAGGGAGAAGGCTTCTGTCAGCCAGGAGGCAATGGTCCCAGGAGAGAAATATTTTCACTAGGAATTTAATTAGGACAGAGAGGAGACGAGCACACAAGAACTCTGACATCTGAGAGAAACTTATATACATGTCTGTTCTGGCCTTTCAAAGCTTTGGTCATGCAGCAGCAGTTAGCTTCCACTCGTTCATGTTATAAAATCGTGATGCTCACATAACAAGCTGGAAGGGCCAGAGGTAGGGAGGTCGCACCTGCAAACAGAGATGACTGAACAAGCATCCAAACAAATCGTTAACAGCAATCATTCCCCCACGGATACCAAGGGATGACTATAATAATAAAAGCGTAATATGCTAATTAGACCAGACATCCTTCCGGGTGTCCTTCCAGACAAAGCTGCAGCAGGTGGGGGCCGAGCCCCTTGCATGAATTTCATGCACTGGGCCTCTAGTATTCAAATAAAATAACCTCTCTTACCCCAAAGAGAACTGGAGCCCTGGTCCCACCCTGAGCATCATGAGCTACTTAAAAATTTTTTTTTTTAACTTTCAGGAATCCCAGGACCATGCAAATCTTTATGAAAGAAAACGGAAAGGGTTTTGCTCTCAGCTCCGTAGGTCTCTAGTGTCTGGCTGCCTGACTGCATCATTTGAAGGTGTACCATTTTGTGATGGTTTTGCTGCCAAGTTGCTGTTAGGTGCTCTAACTGGGATTGAGAAAGGTGGGATTAGGGCTCCAGTTCTCTTTGGGGTAAGAGAAATTATTTTATTTGAATATAGCCACCCCTTGGTATCCGTGAGGATAATTCCAGGACCTCTGAGGATACGAAAATCTGTGATGTCCAAGTCGCTTATATAAAATGGCATAGTATCTGCGTACCGTTCCATACACTTTCAATCATTTCTGCATTACTTGATACCGGATACCATGTAAGTGCTATGTAAATAGTTGTGCTGTATTGTTTAGGGGAAAATGACAAAGCCGGTGTGTGTTTTGTACAGATGCAGCCCTCATTGGCCTACCTATGCAGGAGATGTCGGCAACAAAACTTTTTCTGTCTTCAAATCTTTCCCATCTGGGTTGGTTAAATCTGTGGAAATGGAGTCTGGACTGCAGTTTATGGATTACTCTCCACCTCTGGCTCAAGGAGATAAACTTCCAAACGAAGACAGGGCTTCCACTTTTTTACTCAGATCACTATTAACACAGGCAACTCTATAGGTAGCTCAGTAATTTAGTAGCCATCCACACCTGTGACTTTGTTTCCTGGAAGAAAGTTGACTGCTTTTGGATCTACAGGCTCAGGACTGCATATATAAATGAAAACCATAAGAAATTATTTTGGATGAGTGTTTATTCAAAACTTCCAAGTTATTAGACAGGGAAGCAAAAATATTCACAAGTGGACAAATTATTGCCCACTTCTCCCCTCAGAGCCGCTCAACATCTGGGCGGGGACAGCAGAGCAGGATGACGGCCCGTTTTAAAGCAGGTGAAACTGAGTCCCGACAGGTTCACTGGCTTGTCCGAAGCCCTAAGGAGAGCCTGGCCCTTTGTCCTGCACTGCCGTGGCCCAGCTCGGAGGAAACGTATTAGGTAGAGAAGGTGGGCTGCCCCTGAGGAAGGCAAGCAAAGGTGTGGTGTGTAGGGACGGCCTGCTGGCTGGAGCGAGTGGTGATCGGGCTGTTTATTTAAAAATGTTCAAGAGACTACAAGAGGCCAAGGGCCCAAAGATGCCCAGGTTTAACACGAGGTCACACTGAGGTGGCGGCTGTTGGTTCGTTCATGGCTAGAGCCTCAATTTGATCCTGGTTGTCACTGCCCCAGCCATCCCTCTAGTTGGGTAGCAGTGGTTTCCTGACTCCCAGCATCGGCTATAAAAGTCTGCAACATCCTTCTGGCAATATGCTTTGAAACCAGGTCCCCCGATGATCAGCTTGGGGGACGCTGGGTAATCTTGGACTCATAAAATGGGTGTGGAAGTGTTTCCTCCGCTTCTATTTTGTGGGTGAGTTCGATGGAACTCACCAGGGAAGCCTGGGCTTTTGTTGGAAGATTTGGTTACCGATTCAATCTCC